AAAAAATGTTTTTAATATTTCACAGCGTTTTATTAGTATTCAAGATACTTTATTAAAAACCCGTTACCTATATTTTAGAAATCAATAAATTAATTTATGCTACAACGTTCGTATCAGTAATAATAATATTGAAAAGTTTAAAATTGATTTTTATTTTTAAATTGGAATAGATATTATTTATTAATAATATTAAAATTTAAATCAAATACCGTATGAAAATGCTGCGAATGACAATATGAAAAATACTACAAACTGCATAACACTCCAATGAACGCCAACAAGGTAAAATGCAGGTATAAGAAGAAATGAGAGCCGTATCATTATCCAAACAACCTATACAATAAACTCATTTATAATATTATTATTGTAATTGTGAAATCGACAAGAAAAATGAAACATTGTGTTAACCACTTACCGCAATTATTAATTCGGAAACATAATATACACTTAACGAGTATACTTCATTGTGAATTTCTCGGTGAACCACTGAAAATCTTTCTTGAAATTTTGTAACAGCAGAATAAGCGAAAGTAAACACGGAGGTAGTAACGAAGTTTAACCAAAAACCTTCCCAGTTTTGTACTGCTTTCGTATCAAATCGCAAGTTTCCAAACGGAGCTGACATTAGAAAACTTAAGCACTAAGAGCATTTAAAAAAATTATTTTATTTTAATAACGTTTTATTCAAATATCAAAAACACAATATACACTATATTAGCAATAATACTAACAACTCAATATAATTAGTCCAAACATTATAAAATTTTATATATATAAATATGCAAATATAATGTACTATAAGCATAGGCGTTGAGTATAACTTGACAGCAGTGACTTATAAGTGTAAAATTACTCATCGAATTACTAATACGTATTATAACATAATTTTTTGAATAAAAAATGTTTAAAACAATGTAATTAAAAATTAATTTATATTTAGTATATTCAACGGAACGAGGAAAAATATTGGTAGGTGTTTGGGCCGAAACGATTATGGAAGGACCAGTCACAATGACAATAAAAAAAAGAGCACAATGGTAATAATAGTTTTGCGCCCAACTTTGTATAAGTTAGGCTATTTCTCTGAATGCTGTTTTAAATACTTGATAGGTAACCTAATCATCAATCGCGCTAGACGGCGGCTACGATAACACTGACGGAGGAGCGAAAACAAATTATTTGCACAATAGGAAATAGAGTTTAGTTATCGGGGGAGAGGTCTCTATGGTCGAATCGGTCTGGAGCAATGACCACAGAGCTCACACACAAATCGGACAAAGACTAAAATTAAACTATCAGGCCAAAACTTACAAACTAACTTACGATGACTTGACTAGACAGGATAACGGTAACGATGGTAATTGATATCAGGGTAATCTGGAAGGTCTCACACATACTCTCCGAGTACTGGTGGACTTATGTCAATGCCCAAGTGACATAATCGGACCCAGAAAAGTGGTTGACACGAAACACGACAATGAACATTGATGGTAACATGAAGACGACAACGAAATAACTCACAGACGGTTTTGATAATCAGACGGCCTTTATTTACGGTAACTTTAAAGTTGCATATGGTATCAATCAGACACAGTATAACAAATAATAATAATTCATCACAATGGCGTAAATAACAAATATTTTATGTTGCCGCAATCTCACACAGCAATATAGGTATAATAATACTAATAATAATTACTGTAGTAAAAAAAGAATAACTGACGTTGGCGGAAAATATAAATGATTAATATAAATGGCGGAACGACACGTAGAAAAAAAAAGACAAAACGGACGTATGTATTTGCAACGACCACGAACACAACACACAACGTCGGTGAAAAAATCGCGACTGACGTACAACAGCAGATTAAGAATAACAATGATTATATAATTTACCTAATTTAATTTACAATAATAATACGGTTTTACCGATCATGGACGGGACGAGTGGAACGAATAGAAAACAGGAAAGGACGTAACCGCCGTCTTCCAAAGTCCAGCAGCACGGATGGCATAATAATTTGATAAACACGCGAACAGTAGGTATGTTTAACTATAACAAGGAACTAAATGAATGGTTTAAAATTAATTCATGTAGTCCATATATAAAATTTGAGACTTATGATATTTAAATACTTAGTACATTTTTGGAATTTCCTAACACTTTTCGAGAAAAATTGCAAATATAATATTATTTTATATTCATTAAAAGTGTTTGAAAAGTTATTATGAATTTGCTTATCTTCATAAAATAATTTCTAATATTTCATAAATAAAAATAACAATGTATACACTTATTTTCTAATGTAATAGGCAATACAGTAGTTTTGAATTAATATAAATTACTAATTATTATTACCAATGTAGATGCCAATTCCAGTAGTTTATTTTGGTAACTTCTTACGAAACATTTACTAGATCTGCCCAAAATCAATCTAAACTGAGTATTCCATGTTGGCTTTTTTCTTTAAAACAAATTAAAAATTTTTATTTTCTTTCAAATAAAATTGATTAGGTGGTATAAATGTATTTTAAAATAAAATGTAAAAAATGAATAAATATATTACTAATGTTTGTGAATACTGCAAATAATCCAATTTTTTCTATAAATATTAAAATAGGTATGTTATTAATACTATAACCGACTCATTTATAAATGTTTTATTTTTTACTTGATTATTAAAAATTTCGTAGTTGAGATCTGTTTGTAAGTCAGATGAGGATAACTTACACATTTCGTTTACGTTATCTTTCACCTTTTCATTTTCGGAATTCAGAATAGATATTATAAAATCAGCTTCGTTGAACATATTCGGGCAATCATAACTAAACCTATGTATATAATTTAAAATGTTTAAAAAATGTTCTTTTGAAACGTAGCCTAAACAATATACAATACATTTTAGAATTTTGATTTACTTATGAAATAACTGATGGACCATAGAAACGGGACCCTGATACACCACTTTTCCGCTTGATAACAATAATACGTCATCGAATTTTCCGAAAACACCAGACGCCGGTTGATGAATCGTGCATATCACGATTTTACCCATACGTGCGACACATCTCAAAGTATTTACTATGTGAGCAGCCGAGTAACTGTCCAGACCAGTTGTTATTTCATCACAGAACAGTATTGGTGGGTCGTTTAGTAATTGAACGGCAAGTGCAACTTTCTTCCTTTCTCCGCCGGACAGTACTGATATTCTTGTGTGCAACAGTTTACTCATACCTAACGTAGAGACTATATAATTCACATGTTCGTTTACAGCTGCTTTAGTCGTATTCCGATCCATTTTCAAATTGGCCTTAACTCACAATGCACAAATTATGTCATAATTATTTCTTGAGATACGTAAAAAAAAAAATATATATATAAATATATTATTACCATCAGAACCAAGTGTTCTAAAGCTGTTAACTGTTCGAAGCTAATGTCGTGTTGTGGTACGAATCCGGACATTTTGATCATCATTTCTTCGGTTACGGGTTGTCCATTAAGTAACAATTCACCTTCGAAATTCCCTAAATTATCGTTGAAAATTAACTATTATTCAAAAATCGGTTTTGTGAATAATTATATTATTATATAATAATACGTTACCTTTGGTTCGGTGACTTATGGTAGCCAGTAATGTTGTTTTTCCTGAACCACTAAATTAATATAAACGTTAACACATCAAATTAATACTTAAATGAATGATATAAAAAAATTACAAAAAGATACCTAGGTCCCATTATTCCTAGAAGGTTTCCACATTGTACGTTTCCACTGACTGTAAACATCACATACCAAATATTTTATTAATGAGATGAGTACTTTTAGATTTTAGTACATATCCTCATTCCAATCCTGGGCCAACGTGATTTCCAATAAATTTATATATCCTCAATAAATATTAATTCATTTTTTTTTTGATTTCTTGTATTAAATTTATTTTATAAAAGGTGTTTATATGAAAAATGTAATACAAATTTCTTATATTATATCTTCTCAATCTTCGACGAGTAACTTACAAATATTGTAGTTTCTATCAAATTACAAAATATTAATTTATGAATATTCATTTAATGAAAATGTCGCATATGATAATCAAGTAGTTATTATGGTTATTGTAATATTTTAACATAAATTAGATAAACTTCAAAAATCAAAAAACTATTTTAGGGATAATGATAGTCACCCATCATTGGCAATAGTAAGACACTGTTGGAATTACATACATATGTAAAATGAACGAACCTATCAACATTATTAGAAACAGATTAAAATTATGAAATTTAAACTATGTAATTACGATACTTAACCGTATTATACATAATCATATTCACGCTTTGCTTTTTTTTTTAAACTTACTTCATCAAATAAATATGCTGATGTTGTTAAATTAAATTTCATAATTACCGTTGTTCAATATCTGTTGGTAGGATGTCTTCGAGGGCTTAAAAAAGTTTTGCGTGACTCGTTTCACCGACACATTTAGTCTTTTCCAAGACAACACCAGTCGACCGTGCACGTATTGCATCGGTTTCTGATCCTCAGCCAAACCGTCCCAGTCGTTCCACATTTCATTGTACTGCAAGTTTAAAACCGTGTTCTGCAAAACGGATACAAATGTAATGACAATATAAACGTCGTTCAAATTACATATATGTATATATCTTTAAAGTCGTTGTGAAAATACTCACTTTCGGTGCCATAGCGGTTATTTAAAACACAGAATATCACGTAGATGATTACAAAACGAATATAGCATACGGAGCTACAACTGGCAGACTGTTATATTATTATTCTGTAACACATACAAACTAATCGAACCGATGAACGTGTATTAACTAAACATCACATAACCGGCGTGCGAGAATAGGCGTTGTGGTGGAACTGGTTTCAAGGTTTCAGATAAACTCAGTCTGAAACGTGTTTTAAAATAATTATAATAACGTTTTATATTTAAATACTTATGTACTTAACGCATCAATGAGTCATACACCGATGTAATTAAATTTTACTACTCAAATAATTTTCGTTAAATAATACGTACAGTTTTTGTTTACACTAGTAATTCATACTTTATGTTTATAATTTTTATCGTTTTGTAAGAGTATGTATTTCTAGTTTTTAAATTCTGAGGAATGTATTAGTTGTACCAAAATGTAGGTTTTTTGTGTTTATGTTTATGATTTTGAACAGGATTGCTTCGATTATCATCAAATAAAAAATATAATGTAGAAAATGGATTCTAGTTGGTACTTTTTAGTTAGTATTTATTTCGTCATAACTCAAAAAATAAAAATCGTAGACACATGTAATTTGTAGTGAATTCTTATGTCATAATTTGTTAATGATTTTTTTTTTTATATAATTTTTTGAAAATTGAATCTATCATATTAATTACCTGTATATCAATTTTGGATAAACATTGTTGTAGCTTTGTAATTAAAAAAATCATCTTCTAGACGACAAAAAATATTTACTAAACGAGATTAATGTCGTCCAGTATAATCGTTAGATATACATTGATAGATACTCTATCGGGTATAACTTTAATTAAAATTTAATAATTGGTGTTTAAATATGGGTCACTCAAACTCTCAATCAGTATTAATCGCACAATAAGTTTATATCAAGTAATAAAAAATTTATAAATATGTTATGATAGTACAATAGACAATATACGAATACACTTCTGAATATATAATGACATATTTGTAGTTTATGATTTTGAAGTTCGAGGACGAATTTTTGATCGACGACGGTTATTCGTTATTACAGGATCCGGTGAATTTTCTTTTACAGGCAAATCGCCTGACAACACACTTGGTACATCTGTTGCAATCCAATGATATTACGTCATGTCAGTCCCCACACTGATTCTCAACTGATTCGGATGGTTCAACGAGTTTATAGCTGCTACCTTGTTATAATAAAAATACTGAACCCGAGACGTCGATTTTTATTAACTTGACACAAACCTGGTCTTATACGAACGCATACAAAACATTTTGGAACTCACTATGTCAGTGGTTCCCAACCTTTTTAGTAGTGCGGACTACCAATTTCGTAGAAAATCTTTGAGGCCCACCAATACTTATATATATAATGTGCACATACGTCAGTTATTACAATTTATTTATTAAAAAATAATTGTTTATCAAAAAAAAAAAAAATTTCATTGAAGCAGATTATTCAAGAGTTAAACAATTTAATGTAATTTTGGATTGTCCCCCACGAGAAAATCAATATCTGGATTAAAAATGAAAATGTTTAGCCTTAAATCACTTAAAATTCAATTTATTCCTACATTTTTTTTTTTTAAATCGGTCCTATATGGAGACGTAGTCTAAGACCTTCATACTGCAGATAATGCAAAACAAATTGAGCGTGTTCGTGCTAGGTTTTTACGTTATACTAAGTTCATACTTAAGATGACTTGTGCACCTTATAACCAGGGCCGGATTAACCTAGGTGCAAAAGGAGTATTTGCTCCAGAGCGGCAAATTTAGTGGGACGGCATAAATAAAATAGCCGCAAAAAAATTATTTAAGATCGTCATTAATACAAGAAAAAATGTCTAATTTATCAATTTTATGCATAGAATCTGATTTGGTTGAGGGAATGAAGTGATAAGAACTAACATAAAAACTTGTAATTATTAAATCCATAAAAAAATATAATTAAAAAAAAAATAAATAATTTATAATATATACATAGTTATATGGTTATAGTTTTTTTTTTTTTAATTGGCGTTAATATTAAAAATTACTTTAATTATTATCTGTATATATTGAACCAATTTATTAATATTATAATTGTATTTTGTCAGTATTTTCCATTAGCTTAAAAAAATTCTTTGAAAAACTATTCTATGATATTTAACATATACCTTGGTATTTATACTTTTTAATTTAAGTAGATTAATTATTATATTAGGTAATAGTGATGGGCAACGATATCGATATCGTGACACATTTTCGACACCGATATCGTACTATAGTTGTACAATATATCGCAATATCAAATTTAATAATTTTTCTAGAAATACATTTTATTTTTAAATTCTAAGCTTTAGTAAATTTTATTGTGTGTGCTGTGTAATAAATCATAAACTAATAACTAATAAGTAATAATATTTGTCTAATAATATAACTGATAAAATTTGTACACGTGTCCTCGGGAAATGTGAATTATTATATTATTTATATTTAATTTTACATTTCTATATTATTATTACATTTGATATACCTTAAAATGTTATCTGTATCGATAAGCATTATGTACTAGATAAAAGTTTATGATTTTGGTGTATCAATAATAAATATCATATACTAAATTTATAAAAATATAATTCGATATCGATACACAATATTATATCATTGCCCAACACTATTAGGTACCTATATTTTATAATATATATAGTATATATTTATAAGTAGTATTTTATTTTTTAATGGAAACCAGGATTTTTTTTTTTTTTTGGTCTCATTTAAACCTTATTTCTTTGAGGGGGAAGGGGGCAAACATTATTTGCTCTAAGGCGGCATCAGTCCTTAATCTGGCACTGCTTATAACTCATAATCTCATAACATCGATTGCTATTCACCTAAGTCTGGTCTCCTTGGCGGAACATCCCCATATCGCAGGTATTACATTCCTTGCGGGTCTTTTAAACAACAATATAGATTCTCCTGTACTTCTATCTCTGATCTGCTTTACAGTTCCTTCCCGTTCATCTAATTCCAAGGCCCTCTCCTATGTCCCACACGCCACCAACAACTATATGGCTAATGAGCCTTTAAGACGATTAATGTCGTTTGCCAATACAAACCCTGCCTTCGAAGATTTGCAAAGTTATAAATGTATATATTTATATATTTATTGTACTTGGATAGATTTTTTTTTCTTATTATATTAATGTATTGATGTATGGATGCAATTTTGAATTTGTAACGAATTCTGTAATCTCAAATATATAATATTTAATGTCAAAAGAACTAAGCCCGTATAACTAATTAAAATTAAATAAATAAAAGAAAATATATATTTAAAAACTCAATGAAAATATAAATTATATTACTACACATTTAAGAACGAAAAATCAGAAAATTACGATAGTATACAGTGGTGTAGTTACGGGGGAGGGGGGTGTAAGGGGTTTCTACCCCCCCACAGATTTTTTTTTTAATGATATTTGATTATTATTTATTAATATTTATCTATTATAGAAAAATACTTTGATTTTACTATGATTAGGTATATATTAAAAATTGAGTAACAAAATAATTTTTATTAAATACGGGACATAATAATTATACCATTTTAAATGTAATATTATTACATATGACCTCGTTTTAAGATATACCAAGAACACTTAAAAACTTGCTTTTAAACACCCCTTCCTCCAAAAAAAAATTGATATCTACGCCACTGATAGTATATCATTCCAGTCATTATTTTTCGATGCTAAAATTACAATATTATATTTAGTCTTTCTGAATACAAATAAGTACGTTGAACCACTTAATAACCCAACCACTTTTTTTATTTATTAGAACTTTATAAATAATCTTGTCAAAAGGTATTACTATTGATAAGTATTTCCCTCACTTCATTATTTTCGATTTATCGATAGGGGCGAAATACATGTTTTTACATTGTTTTTTTGAACTGTAGAGATTTTATTGATACACCAAACGTTAAGATCGATTAGTAATGGTTTTCAAATTATCAAGAGTTTACTGTAAGTGTATTATTAGAAAGTATTATATTATATGAATGACATAGTGCAACGGTTCCCAACCCATGGACCGCAGCCCACAGGTGGTACTGGGCCTGAACCATATTATATTAACATTACTTACATATATTTTTAAAATATTAAATATCAGCAAGCGAAGAAGATTCGTTGATTGAACTTTCATGTGAACAGACTCTAAAATCGTTTTTTAAAACTACACCATTATTACCATTCTAGTTAAATATTCTGCAAGGGGGGGGGGGGGCAGCTGAGGTTGTAGCCCAAGGGCCTGGGGCCTGACCAAATTCATTACGTTTCGGTCATGGTGTCGAGCTATTTATGGATCACCTACATGAATCGTGCTAATAACCTACCCAAATAATTATAGCGTATGCTGTATAGTTATAACGAGACTACAATAAAGAGAACAATATTGATCTAAAACGTAGACAAATAACATTTTCATGAAAGACACATAGGCTATAAATAATTATTTTAATTTAGTCTGTGGAATAACCATGGTTGCGATTACATTATCTCTTTGCAGTGGTGTAGCCAGGAATTATCCAAGAGGGGGGGGGGTTTATATTTTAGCAAATCACTAAAATATATTGTCCCGGTATGGTAAAACTGTAAATGTTCCGCTGAGTTGTACGCAAGTTGAATAATACATCTTTGATTAGACTAATAATAATACCTATTTGTGAACGTTATTATTATTTATAATTATTGTACAGAGTACACATTAATTGACTTAATACAGATACACAGATAAAAGTATATGTATATATATATAAAAAAAAAAAACTTTATTAAATTATAAGTATTAGTATTAATTAGAAATATTTGTATAATATTAGAATTTACATTCTAAGTTAGTTATAACGTATAAGTTATAGCAATTTTAATTTTCTTGAGATTTTAGCAAAGTCATCAAGAACTTCATCTATAGTTATAACTATTTCACGATGAATATTTAGTAACGCTAAACTATTTAGTCGATTTTCTCCAGTAGTATTTCTGAGGTATGTTCCAAGTTTTTATAAGGTAGAAAATTACTTTTCACTGCTTACTGTAATTATGGGAAGTGTAGTTAGTATTTGTAGAAGTTTATTAATCGATGGAAAAATGAGTGGGTTACATGTTATAAGAGCTTCCATTGCATTTTTGGGTTTTCTGCTCCAACAAACTTTTGTGTCCATGTTAATACTTCTCCAATTACTGAATTAGGACTAAATTTTAAATCTTCGCAATACTTTTTTGTCAAACTTTTAATGTTTTCTTCTTTATCTGGCAAATTATTGTTTGGCTAGAGACATCAAAAATTAGCGATCAGATATTTATGTACAATGAATCTATCATGAAATTTTCTAATTAAGTTATCTAAAATGAATAATGATGTTTTTTAGTAATTGTTTGGACAAGTGGTTTTTACATTAAAACGATTTTTCTGTATGTTTGTAACTCGAGGTAAAGTTATTTCAATATATATATAATATAATATAGTGACATACATTTTTCTTTCACTTCCATAAATATTTTTTTCAAATTTTTCATCAGCATTATTTCTGATATTTTTTATCACATTAGAAAGCCAATGACTTTACTGAGAGGTATACTTAACTTAGAGTTATACCAAACACCTTTTCTAGTAGATATGTTGCTGAAATAAATTTCGGATGCTTAATAGCGCAGAAGAATTGATAGGCTCCTGATAATGAATCTGTCTGGCCATGTAGAAATAATAGATAATCCATCATCAACTACATCAAATAACTCCATAAAAGTAATTATGGAGTCATGCCGATCGAACCATCTTGTTCGACAAAATAATTTTAATCTTGTTATCTGAGATACAGGACAAACACATTTCATTGATTCTAACATTATGTTTTGTCGTTTTGGATATTTAAAAACTATGCACAATTTTTGTATGGTGCCAGTACAGTTTCGTATGGATTGAATATTACATGTATCTGACATTGCTAAGTAGTGAGTCGTGGATATTTTTTGTAATAGTTTTTGATTTTCTTTTCTGACTATGTATATTATCTATAGTAATTACTAGAGACCGGATTTTTATGCAGTAAAAATCAAAAAAAGTTAATAACATAAAAATTGCAAAAACATGCAGTTAAGTGCCTAAATCGTTCAAAAATGTATTTTTTTCCTAAAATCGCTTAATACTTTCCAAAATTTTGTAAACATTCAAAGTACGCTTGAATTATACTTTATTTATCCAGTTTTTTACACTATTAGAGGATTAGCAAAAAATTAATGAGTAATTAATAATTAAAAGATTAATATAAATATATACATATATAAAAAAACCATACCAACAGAGTTAAGCTATTTAATTTTAATTTTAACTATTATACTCGTACATACATAAAAAAATTTATTTTTTTATTAAGTTAAAATTTACAATGTTATACATTTCAAAATTGTGTGCAGAAAAATTGTGCCTTCTATCACTCAATATGTCATTTAATTTGGAAAATGTTCATTCTACTTCAAAAGAAGTGATAGGACTTATTTTGCAGCAAGCGACGATTGCAGGCTGTTGTTCAACATTTATATTTTTCGAATTATATTATATTTTTTTAATTTTTGACGACAGACTTGACCCAATTTTTGGCATTTTATAAATTTGTTTATATTTTTTTATGCAAATTATTCGTAATGAAACTATCACGACACTAACCAATTTAAGAAACACTCAAACACAAAGTCAGACAGAAACTAAAGTGCTAATGGCCGGAGATTTCATTCATTATTTAATTAGTAGTTGCTACCATTTATTTTTACCACGAAACACTAATAAATTTATGTTATTCTAAGAATATTAGCAGCTTGGATTCACTTTTTCCTTTTGTATAGTTGAAAACTGAAATAAACAAATATTTACGTACATACCTGTATGTAGGTAATATAATTGTATATACCTATCTGGCTACTTATATACGTATATATATATATATATATTATCTAGTTAAATTTTAAAAATGCAGAATATGCAATTTCAATCAACGAAAATCAAAATCGTGCAATTTAAAATAAAAAGTGCAAAACGTGCAATTTCGTGCAAAATAAAACTACGTTTATATTAATCTGCTTCTCACGATTAGGATTTATAATTTTTTTTATATGATTTAAAGCAAAGGAAAAAAATTGCAATTGCACGAGAATCCGGTCTTTAGTAATTACTAACTAGTAAAAACTTAACAGTAAACAGTTAAACAGATTCAAAATATTTGACCGACAAACAAACGGTAAAATATTTTTAGTTACTGTGTAAAAATGTGCACTAAATATTTTTTATACATTTTTTTATTTGACTAAAATAATTTTCACATATATTTTTACACATTTCGATTTAACATTTGAATAGACTGTAAAATAATCCACGAACGTCACAACCATCAAATAATCGGATTCAGATTTCGACTATAAAACATAAAAGAGTCGTTATAACGGCATTCATCGGACAGCTTATAGTAGGTTGATATACTTGCGACGTCGAACTCTAAAGTCACTGGAACTTAGCCATCTGCACGCTAGACTCATCGTACCATAACCAATCGTTATTGTCGAACATGATCACAAATGATATTTTACGATTATACTACAAGTCTATTGTAGGAAATTTTTTATATATCATAGTGTAGCACTGTTTTATTTTCATTTTTTTCATATATTAATCATTTATAACAAATATTTTTTATATTAGAGTCAGTTCGCTATAAACTACTGTTTCGATAACTTGTCTGTATTCGTATAAGTTTGTAATTTCTTAGAGTAAATCGATCGTTTTATTGTAATGTATTAAGTTAATAATAATTTATTATATGCAGTTAAAAACTGTCAAATTTCTCAACATCCAGAGTATGCAACATTTACAAAACGGTTTCAATTTCTCAAGAACTTTCCATCGACCTTACCTGATAAATTAAAATTATCTGAAGTAGGATTTTTCACTAAAACTAGAGATTCAGTTCAATGTTTCTATTGCAGCTTAATATTAAGTAATTTGGTTAATGGAGATTGTCCGTATCGCAAGCATGCAAAATTTTCTAATCTAATGGCCGTTCATCAATATAAAGATACTTTAATATTTGATAAACCAATTTATGTGGGGTCTGCAATTTTAGACGTATCGAAAATATTTATGTATTCATTTCACTATGTTATAATGAAATAAAAATATGGTGATAAAATAAGTATTTTGTATTCAGGTACAGATTCATTAATATATGAAATTCTAACAAAAATTTTTTTTACTGATTTAAAAAATGATTTTCTAACATATTTTGACACATCAAATTATCCTAAAGATCATAATTGTTTAAGTAATGACTATAAAAATCAACCTGGTTGTTTTAAAGATGAATTTAAAGGTGTTATACTAAAATAATTTATTTCGTTAAGACCAAAATTATATGCTTACAAGACTGTAGACGATAAGGAAATAAAAAAAGCGAAAGGTGTAAAAAAATATGTAATCGAGAAACATATACGATTTGATAATTATATAAATATATTAAATGCTTACATAAATCATCAACCTGTTTCTAAAGAACAAGCTTATACAAACATGAATTTTATTCAATCGAATAAACATTTTGTCCGCTCTAAAACTTTAAATAAGCTTGTTTTAAATGCTTCTGATGATAAACGGTTTATAAGAGCTGATGGTATTAACACCTTAGCTTATGGTCATTATAAGCTAAAAAAAAAAAAAAAAATAAACAAAACTTGATCATTTCTGTAAATTTTAATTTTTTTTTATTTAAAATATGATTGTGTAAAAATAATATAAAGCAAGTAAATATCACAAATAAAATATCATTAAAAATTAAAACTATAATAATACATCATTTTTATTTTAAAATATCTGTGGATTGTATCCATGAATTATAATTTAAATTTAACCCAAGCCATTTTACAAGAATACTATTTTTCTTTCTTTTTATAATACGAGTACGTTCAATGAGGAAGGTGTCTGGAAAATTAGTTTAATTTCTTGTTCGTAAAACAGCTACGAACTATATTACCTAATGAATGTTTTAGCTGATAAGTTACCGGATCTGTTTGTAAAATTTTTGAAATTGTAAAAATGTCTGTCGTCCAATTTGGTGTATATCCTTTACTGAATGTATGTTTATATTTAGATATTCTAACTTCATTATATCGTTGTATCATTAATATTGTATTTACATTTTAATTTATTTTTTGTTTTAAGTAATTGTAGTTTTATAGACTGTTCGAGCTTCATGTGATGTATATTTAATTGTTGTATGTTTAGTATTATTATAATTATATACAATATTATGTATTGAACTGTACCAATCATATGAACCTATTACTATATACTTTTTTATAAATTATATTTTTAATTATACGTATAACACGTTCAGCTATTGCTGCTTTTATACCACTGTATGTTGAATAATGTTTAATGATATATTTTTTCATAAGATTTTGAAATTGTTTGTTGTAAAACTCTGTACCGTTATATGTTTGTAAAAATTTTGGATGATTTATTTGTAATATATTTATCATATCTTGTGTAACTTGTTTTGAAGATTTATTTTTTAATGCCTGAACTCATAAATACTTGGTATATGTATCTATTAAAATTAGAATAAATTTATGTCCAATATTATACTTAGAATATGATTGCATTCTATTAGATTTACTTTCCAAATATCGTCTTTGAATAAAGAAATTATTTTTCTTCTAGGAAATTTTTTTTCTCGCCGGTTTATGTAGCTCTTCTGCTACTTTTTCTAATGTAGTCATATTAATGCGTGATAACTTTAATGTAATACTTGTTTTAATATAAAAAATATATTTTTTTCAGTATATAATGAATAATGATGTAATAATGGGAGTTATAAAGACTTGTTATCAGAGCCCAACTTAGAGGGGGGGCTAGGGGGGCTACAGCCCCGGGCCCCGGTATTATTTGGGGCTCCAGGCCTCTGTTGACAATTAAATATTTAAGTGGTATTGTAAAATTTTAAGATATTTCTTTTGTTTAACATTTACAAAACAAATTAATCATGTTTCGTAATGGAATTTAAAATTATTATCTAATCGATAAAATAAAGCTATTAAATTTTGAGATAAAGTTGGCCAAAAACACTTTACCATTTATATTTACCTATCCTATCACCTAATTATTAACGTGTATACCTATAGGCCAAGTTTAAACACTTGTATAATAACACGAATCGCAACATTTGTAAGCCGCGCATTATTTAAAAATATCTCGGGTTTTTGCGAACGCTCAGTTTATCTAAACGTGGGTATACACTAATTGTTTACCTCTACCAAATCGTTAAGGTATTTTCTATTACATACATTTTGTTGGTTAGTTTTACATCGTTAATACAATCGATACGTTAGTTAGTATTCTGTTGATTGTTGTAACTCGTGATTTTAAATTGGTTTTAAGTAGAGTTCGTGAGTTTTGTTCGTTATTAGTGTATAATAAAAAATATTAAAATTTGAAAATATCAAACAAAAAAAGGATTTATCTCAGTGGTTATGCAAAACGAAAATTTAAGAAGGAGGCTGAAGATGCAGTAAGCAAATTACCTAAATCAACAAATTTCTTTAAAACTGTTAATAGTTTAAACGAAGTAGAAGAAGAAGCTAATGCAAATAATAAAGATGATTTGGTTTTAAATAATAGTTATCTTGATGTTGAAAACATAAATAACGATAGTAATAATATGTCTAATACAATAATCATTTCAAACTATGATGCTTTAAATTTTTCTGAAAATGAATCTGACAATTGTTCTGCAGTAGAAGATTAAGTGATTGCTACTAATTTTAATTCGGATTTTCATAACTTTGAAATTGATATTGAATCATATCAAGATCCGGGAATGTAGCCTTTAGTGTTAAACAACACTTTTATAGAATTATGCTGCTTAAAAGGACCAGCATTTTTCAGAATATCGATCCAAAAAAATTTCATTCTTCCGAAAAAAAATTTAAAAATTATAATCGCTAATTAAATATTTCATTATTAGAATTAAAATTGCCTATTGGTGAAATACACTCACGTAAATGGCTTATGTTTTCTGAACACACTGGCAAAGTTTACTGTTTTGTTTGTAAACTATTTAATAAATCAAATAATTTAAGTTTTATTAATCCTGGTTTTAACAATTGAAAAAAATCTTACGAAAAAGTTAAAGAACATGAAAATAGTGCAAACTATCGTGAATCAATGTTAACTTGGTTAGATTGTGTAAACACTAAACATCGTATAGACAAAACTATAACCTAAAAAATATTGAATGACAATTAGTATTGGGTTTAAGTGTTGCACCGTGTAGTATCTGTTGTTAAATTTTTGGCTGTTCGTGGGTTAGCATTTGAGGGTAATGACTCGCAGTTGGGTTCTCCGAGTAATGTAAATTTTCTTGGAATTCTTGAAGTTATTTTCGAATTTAATCCCTTTTTAAAACAACATGAATGAACGCGCTAATAAAGGATCAGGCAATGTAACTTATTTTTCGATTCGAATTTGTAACGAAATAATTGACCTAATGGCAAATGAAGTTTTATTTAAAAATAACTAAATAGTTACAAGAAATTAAATACTTCGGTCTAATTTTAGATTCTACTCTAGATAGAGCACATAGAGATCAATTTGCTGTTGTTATTAGATGCTGTTATAAAGGGTTAGTTGTTGAGCGATTTTTAACATACATTCATATATTAAGCTATACTGGTATTTAAATGGCCGAAGAAGTAATACATTTTTTGGAAAATAATAAAATTAATTTGCAATATTGTAGAAGTCAATCATACGACAATGCTAATAATATGACTGATATATATATATATATATATATGAGGGTTTACAGGCTCAAATAAAAAAAAAAAAATATAGTGTTGCTTTATTTGCACCTTGTTTTGCTCATTCCCTAAATTTAGTAGGGTCACATGCAGTGAAAAGTTGTTTAGAAGCAATCAATTTTTTTGGTGTTGTTTAAAAATTGTATGCATTTTTTGCGACCTCAACACATAGATGGAATTTGCTTTTAACTTGTCTAAAATTAGAAGAGAAAAATAAAATAATCGTTTTGAAAACTTTAAGTAATACTAGGTGGGAGTATCACGCGGAGTCTTGTAAAGCTATTATCTTAAGTTATGACCAAATAATATGTATATTAACAGATATTTTTGAATATTGTAATGAAAAACAAGAAAATAGTCATGAGGCTAAATCAATGAAAAATAAAATTATAAAATTTAAATCAACTTTTATGGCAGTTATGTGGAGTGAAAATTTATGGTAGTTTAACAGTGTTAGTAAATACTTTTAAAAACCGGAAATAGATTTATTTACAGCCATAAATTTATTGAAATGATTAAAAACTTATGTTAGCTCATTAAGAGAGAAGTTTATAAATTTTGAAAACAAAGCAAGGTTATTATCAACAAATATTCTGTCCTGTGTTGAAAAAAGTGTAAGAAAAAAAAAATTACCACTTTCATGGTATAAGAAAGTTAGAGATTGATACTTTTTACGTTTTTATTGGTCGTTTAGTTGTTGAACTTGATAAAAGATTAAACGCATATAATAATATTTGTAATATTTTTGGGTTTATTACAAAATTTGATTCAGAATTATTATCAGAGACTTCTACCGACATATTCATTAGCACATTTAAAGATGATATTGATATAACTAATATAAAACAAGAGATTGTGCACTTTTCAAATTATGTAATGCAGTTAAATTTACCAATAATTACTCCTCAAAATCTTTACTTATATGTACATGAAAATAATTTAAAAAAAGTCTTTCCAAATGTGTGCATTTCTCTACGAATTTATTTAACTTTGCTAATTTCGAATCGTGAAGCAGAAAGAACAAATTCAAAATTAGAACTTATTGAAAACGCCAGAAGAACGTTCATTCAAAAAAAATTAAACTCACTCGTTCGTCTATCTGCTGAAAGGGAAATAACTGACACATTAGATTTTTCAGATCTAATTCAGAAGTTTAGTGAACTAAAATCTCGAAAGAAACCATTGACTTAAATTTTTATTTATGAAATTTAGTAAATATTAATAAATAATTAATATTTTTCATTTTTACCGGTACTTAATAATTATTTTTAAATATAATACGAGTATTAACAATTCATTTTTGGTCTGTAAATAAAACTTTTGTTCACTAATGCAATAATGTTATTTAA